GGCTGTGTGCATATACGTGTGTGTATGTGTGTGCGTGTGTATAACGTTGCCCAAATATTTCAGCGATAACCGCGCGACGCTTTGTAATTTTCGCGTTGCAAAGCGACGCGTTAATTAAATTCAAGGATACGCCCCACGGAACGAGACAGCCGCTTCGGAAACACGAAATACGAGCTTTTCGTCGTTAGATGAGAAATTGCGGGCTGGCCACCAGCAGCCGGTTGCGCGCAAACCTGTTTCAATCTCCCTCTATCTTTCGCTTTCTTTTTTCGCTCTTTCTTTTTCGCCAAGATAATTAGACGCATTCAAATGAACCCGGAAATCCTCTCGCGCGCTGCAACGTCGGGGTGAATTTCGCACGTGCTTTGGCTAATTTTTCCTTTGCGAGAGAAACGCCGCGCACCTCTGGCTTATGCAATTTGCAAATCCTTTTTTTCACGCTCTTTGCTGAATGGCGGACTCGTGCGACGCGTAAAATTCTTTGTTATTAAAACGCAAATCTAAATTACCCGCATGTCGCACGTGCGGCTCTTCTTCTTTTCTTTTTTATCACACACAAGGAGGAACGTACAGGACATCGACAAAATATCTCTCTGAATTGGGGGAGATCTTGCCAAAGTCTCTCCTAATATAAATTTAGTGACAAGAACTTTGTCAAATACACAAAAATTCCCGAATGAGCAGATTCTCGAGCTGCTTGTTTGCTTTATAAAGATATTACTGCTATCATTTAGATTATATTTTGTGCACTTGGCGTTTGTTATTGCGTCTGTAAGGCGTTTGGTTAGTAATATTTTCCGCGGAACAGGGGAATAGAAGAGACCAGAGTTAGATGCTGTATATTTTAGAGTTTCGAAGTTACAACATCTCAGCAAACTAATTGTTATGATTGATTGTATAAACATGATAGAGGTAACGTTCTTCTATGTATGCCCGCCACGACTCTGTTAATCGTATATTTTGTTTAGTAATAACCAAAATACAAATACGCAGCAACGTAGCCATCTTGCTTTGGTATCAGGTTCAGTTGTCCAGTAGCGCGGGGTAAATAAAAAAAACCACGTATCAAATATATATATATTTTTTTTATTAGTTTTATTTAGTTTTATTTAGTAGTTTCAGAATCCCCGTGAGAAATCTCCACAGCTCTCTTGCCGGTCTTTAATTATGGGCCAACTTTATCTCGTCCGCCCATATGCTCGATTTCAATCATTTTATGAATGAAAATTGCATTTATTACCAGAAACAGTATATTTATACTTGCAAGAAATTTCACTCTATCCTCATTCATCGCTTAATTTTATTTAGATACGATGAAGAATATTAATAGAAAATTTTGAGAGGATCGAAGATTTACTTTACTAAAACCAAATCAGTTTTCTTTCTATTTTTTAACTATAATATTATTCCGATTTTAAGGGGACTGGAGGGTGAGATTGCCTGAAAATCGTGCTTGTTTTTTCACAATTTTTTATGATAAACTAATTGAATATGCGAAAGTGTAATTTTGACGTATATTTATATATAAAGAGAAAAATATAAAGAGAAAAAAAAATATAATTTTGATGATCAAATACTCAATATAAGTATATGGTACATGCAGTTAAAATATATTTCGTTTTTCTTTTCAAGGTCGTCATTTTGCAGTAATATCTTGACTCTCGGTGGTTTAATTAAGCTGAATTTTAAGTAGAAAATTTCCGTAAGCTTGTCGTTATTGTGTGAACCACTATAATAGAAATTGAGTAAAAGTTAACAAAATTGCAAATATCTTAATGGAATATTATTAAATTTTCAGTTCTTTTATAGTAAAAAAATTAATATTTCACCGAGAGTCAAGATATTACTACAAAATGATGACCTTGAAAAGAAAAACAAAATATATTTTAACTGCATGTACTATATTACACTTATATTGAGTATTTGATCATCAAAATTATATTTTTCTTCTCTTTATAAGTTGTATAAATATATGTCAAAATAACACTTTCGCGTATTCATTCAGTTTGTCATAAAAAATTGTGAAAAAACAAATATGATTTTCATGTAATCTGATCCTCCAGTTCTCTTAATAAAACTCAGGGAGAAGTATTTGTTCTTTAAAAGGACGATTTCGCGATTTTGTGTACCCACTATTTCTCTCGAGAAATACTAAAATATTAAAAAAAGCACTTGTACAACATATCCCTAGGGTCATACAGCCCCGGTCTCTCTCGCGGCACACGATGTAATGAAGAAAAACGCGCGTACCAACTGTCCCCGCTCTGATAGTCACATCGGGACGCATTTCATCGGCTGCTTGTTTACACGCGCATGGAATTTCATTGCACAGGGTAGTTTAGGGATCCACGAGTATGGCTGGTTATTAATTTTGACCATGAGAGGGTCGCAACGTGAATCTCGCCTAATGTACATACACCCGTATTATACACATTCGGGAATTAGTGCGGGCATGCGCGCATGCCGTCCCAAACCTATTTAACTAGATTAAATCAATGGGGAATCGGTGGGTCAACGTACGAAAATCCGTGCGCGCAGTTGCATTACGTCCCGAGACATCATAATCACATTAATCGCACCGAGCGACATCGGCGCCGATGCACAAATGCCGCACCGATTGCGCGACGGCGTCCCCTCCTCTCTCTCTCCCCCTCCGACTGATTATTCCCTCTGGAAATTCGTCGCGAATAGCCCGACGATGTGACGACGAAAATTGCGACATTTGTTTTGCGCCACTGGTTAACAGACCGACATCGAATCGACGTGTACAGCGCCAATTGATTGAATCGCGTACACACGAACGGTTAATAAAGTGCTCGAAGAACCGTTCTTCACACGTTGTTTCACATGTTTCTTCACGCACCTCCTCACTTATTTTCTTTCACTAGCAAACTGTCCCTCGCGGGTGTCCCTCGCGAATTTTAACGGACTTTGGACGTGTTGCGAAGCAGCAATGTATAAACATCCTGTGCATTTTTTATGTGTTTACTTGCGCGCTCAAAGCTCAAAAAACTTCGAAAACTAGCCGAATATACAATTTTCAGCGAAAAAAATACATCGTCGAAAATCATAAAAACTGGGCCGACACAAGCCAAAGCAGAAAACAGCGCGGAGAAATAAAAATTGAATATAAGAGCTTGATTTAATCATTGACATTGTAACTACCTAATATATAAAGGAGTTTCATTTAAAAGATTTTTATATAATATTTTATACTCTTCTTTTTTTAATAACGTGTAATCAGATTTTTAGTAGTTTCATAGTTTTGACTCTAATTATTAATAATCCTTCTTATTAGTAAGGCCTTGTTATAAATCAGACAAGTGCTTGAGATCAACTTAATCAGAATCAAGGAGTGAATTTTTGATCGGGATATATTTTCGACGACATACATTGGCTACATTGTGTGTATCGTATACACCGATGTTTCTATGATTCTTTCCTTTTATACACAGAGCGTGTCACGTTGAACTTGAAAATATCTCTGATTTTCGTGTCAGAAGAAATTGTGTAAAGAATAAGTATTGGAATCGGCCAAATCTCCTCCAAAAAGATTTTTATATGATATTTTATACTCTTCCCTTATAGAAATATCATACTAAGAATCATTGATAATTACTTATTATCCAGTATTTTTAATACTGAAAATAAGTAATTATCAATGATTCTTAGTATGATATTTCTATAAGGGTTCTCTTTACTTTTAATGATGTGTATTCAGATTTTTGATAGTTTCATAGTTTTGACTCTAATTATTAATAATCTTATTTATTAGTAAGACCTTGCTATAAATCAGACAAGTGCTTGAGATCAATCTGATCAGAACCATGGAGTAAATCTTTAATCGGGATATATTTTCGACGACATAGTCGTTGGCTACATTGTGTACATTGTATACACCGATATTTCTATGATTCTTTCCTTTTATACGCAGAGCGTGTCACGTTGAACTTGAAAATATCTGTGGTTTTCGTGTTAGAAGAGATTGTGTAAAGAATAAGTATTGGGATCGGCCAAATCTCCTCCAAAAAAATTTTTATATGATATTTTATACTATTTTCTTTATTTTTAATGATGTGTATTCAGATTGTTAATAGTTTCATAGTTTTGACTCTAATTATTAATAATCTTATTTATTAGTAAGACCTTGCTATAAATCAGACAAGTGCTTGAGATCAATCTGATCAGAACCATGGAGTAAATCTTTAATCGGGATATATTTTCGACGACATAGTCGTTGGCTACATTGTGTACATTGTATACACCGATATTTCTATGATTCTTTCCTTTTATACGCAGAGCGTGTCACGTTGAACTTGAAAATATCTGTGGTTTTCGTGTTAGAAGAGATTGTGTAAAGAATAAGTATTGGGATCGGCCAAATCTCCTCCAAAAAAATTTTTATATGATATTTTATACTATTTTCTTTATTTTTAATGATGTGTATTCAGATTGTTAATAGTTTCATAGTTTTGACTCTAATTATTAATAATCTTATTTATTAGTAAGACCTTGCTATAAATCAGACAAGTGCTTGAGATCAATCTGATCAGAACCATGGAGTAAATCTTTAATCGGGATATATTTTCGACGACATAGTCGTTGGCTACATTGTGTACATTGTATACACCGATATTTCTATGATTCTTTCCTTTTATACGCAGAGCGTGTCATGTTGAACTTGAAAATATCTCTGGTTTTTGCGCTAGAGGAGATGTGTAAACAATAAATACTGGGATCGGCCAAACCTCCTCCAATCACACAATTCATTCCATTTCCCTCTAATAAAACAACATAGATATTTGAGAATTTAACGTTAGGTGACTTTCGCTGTACACGAAATTTTATACCGGCACAATATTTGCTCGACATTCATGCTAATGTATTCCGCAATATTGATCCGCATTCGTTGACTTAAAAGTCACACGCTATTCACGCGCGGGCTTTCCCTCCCGCCGGTGTGAAAGGGCGCCTCTCCGGTAAACCGATCGACGCTTTACCTCGCGATTGAGCGGCTTCGCCAGAGTGATGACACCGGTGCGCGGGTTGACGACGAAATGGTCCGTGAGTTGTATGCCATATTTCACGGGCGATCCTTCGGGATCGTGGCCCTTCAGGACGAACACTTCCGTCCCGACCTTGGTCGATTCCGAGAGCGGCAAGCCCGACGGGTATCCGGAGGCATCCAGGATGGGTGGCTCGTTCACGTTGTTACCCGCTAGAACAACAAGAAAGAAGCGTTTGTTTTCGAGAGTTTATTGTTGGCTATATCGATCGCGCGCTCGTGAAATCCCTTCCGCTCGGTGCCCGTGTGTGTACTTTAGGAGGTTTATTTATTCCTCCCGTTAACTCCCTTACGCGCTGCAAGCCGCGCTTTCGGGACTGCTTCGGGGACGGCGAGTGAAATATGCAAGGTGTCCCAGAACCACCGCTGCCTTTGTTTTCAAACGAACGTACACGAGTTCTAATACGATATCGAGACACGCGAATTGTTCTCGGATAATACAATAAGAGCGAAAAGATTTCAGCGAGTAAAGCTCCGTGTAGAGCTGTACACACTTGTACGAACGATGCTTTATGTGTATGCACTGAGAGAAAAAATATCTGAGAAATAAACAATATTTATTTTCGGTAGGAACTAGTAACATATACTTATTCTTATACCGATATAAAATATTTTTCAAATAAGAGAATATACATTTTCTTAAAACTTTGGCGAAAGCGAGTATATATTCTATTTGAGTAAAAAAATTTAGATTTAAATAAATTTGTTATTAGTACTCCCCCTCCCCCAAATAAATATCCAAGTCATACAAAATATTTATTTTGTGAGTACTATATATTTACTTATTCTAATACAAAATATTTTTCAAATAAGAAAATATACAATTTCTTAAATCTTAGCTTCTCAAGAAAGCAATGGCCTATTTTATTTGAATATAAAGAACTTCAGATTTAAATAAATATGTTATTAGTATTCCCCAAATAAATATCCAAGACATAAAAAATATTTATTCTGTGAATACTAGTAATATATATTTACTTATTCTAATATAAAATATTTTTCAAATAAGAAAATATACAGTTTCTTCAAACCTTAGTTTCTCAAGAAAGCAATGATCTATTTTGTTTGAATATAAAGAACTTCAAATTTAAATAAATATGTTATTAGTATTCCTCATTAAGACATAAAAAATATTTATTCCGTGAGTACTAGTAATACATATTTACTTATTCTAATACAAAATATTTTTCAAATAAGAAAATATACAGTTTCTTCAAACCTTAGTTTCTCAAGAAAGCAATGGTCTATTTTGTTTGAATATAAAGAACTTTAGATTTAAATAAATATGTTATTAACATGTACCGTATAAATATGTTTTATCTTTTAGACATTTTTCCTCTTAATGTGGCGTATAAGTATACATAGGACGTTCCAACTCTCGCGGGAAACCTCTCAAGACCAGATTTCTTATGGAAAAATTGGGGAACCAGAATTTTAATACGAAAATGTCGAGAGAGGGGCTGTAGCAGTTTTCAAGTAACGAACGATTAAAGTTCACCAACCATAATGGCCAAAGTTCGCTTAGGTACGATATAACGTACAGTAACAAGCGTGCACACATGCGTGTCGCAAATTTTCCACATTGACACAAAAATTATATGCATACGAAGATAAATTCGTTTTTGTTGTTACGTATAAATGAATGTTTCGTATGAATAATTAATATCTGTATAATGTATAAATGTATAATATATAACAGTGTCGTAATGCGGGAATAATAATATTGTAATAATGCATAAATATATCCGCATGATGTATAGATATTAATATCGTACGTATAAAAACACTGCAAGCAAACTATTCTTCACAACATAGAAGGTCACAAGTGAATCGCCACATGATGCTTCTCTCAGAGCCGATTTTTCAATAGTACTCTGAGAAAAAATATTTAAAAATTAACTAATATATTAATAAATTAAATAATATTTATTAATATTTATTAGGTGAGTATCATTAACATATATTTATTTAAATCAAAATTCTTTTCATTTAACCGAATATTGTTTATTCGGTTTGAATAAACAATATTCGGTTTAAATGAAGAGAATTTAAATAAATATATTAATAATACCAACCTGAATAAATGTTTGTTAATTTTTAAATGTTTTTCCCTATGTAGATTAAACTTAGATTTAAGTTCAAACTCTATTCTAACAATGTGTTTGATGTTTGAAACTCAAAGTTGAAACTCAAAGTTAAACTACTATCAAAAATCGGTCTCTATAGAGTTTACTGCGATTTTTTTATAATTTCTAATTTTTTGTTTAATCATGTATTCTAATTCTAGAAAAGTTTTTATTTGTGAATAAATTGAAAAATAAAGGTTGTGAGCAAATGAAATGACTAGGAGTGAAAGATTACAGCGACGTATCGTTGCGTCGTTGTCGATTATCGCGCTCATCTCTAATTGCAAAGTTACGCTCATTTCTTGAGACACATGCCAATATTCGGAGTTTCGATTCCGATGACTGACGTGAGGATGCGCGACGTATTAATTAAGATTTGTATTAGACAGCGATCATCGAGTCTCAATCGGCGGATACAATCACCAAGACACACGGCATCGCACGTCACCGCACATCCATTGTGCCGTACACGTGAGGTTGCAGTCGTTGCGCGATCGATTAAAGTGATTAAGGCTACACGAGCTGAACAGATTATGATTGATGTGTCTGTCGCGCGGGAATCGATTTTTGCGCGTCGACATCGCCGCCGATCTGTTTGTAATCAATTTCGCCTCGAAATCCGGAGCTTAATGCTTTCGTGCTCCTTTTTTCGCGATGCGCCCAATCAATAAGGTGAACTCGTGTGCTTCGTGAACGTCGAAGAAAACATATCAGAACGTCGGGAGTTTCTTTCGGTCTCTTTTGTATGATATTGTATCATCACGTCGTTTAAGACTTACAAAAAGAGATCCTTCGGGTACTTTGAAGATGAAGACTTCACGAGATGATAATTTTCCCATTTACGAAGGAAACATTGAATTTTCCAAAAAAGAAATTCAATGTTTATCACGTATATCTTCCTGAAGAAGGAATAATTTTAATTCTCTATAACACGTCATTGATTTAAATAAATATGTTATCTATTGAATAAATATTTTTTAATTTTTAGATATTTTTTCTTAATATATATATAAAAGTTATAACCCCTATTTTTGCGATATAACAAAATGGCAGTATAATATATTTTTTATTTTTCAACTTATTTTTCAAATGTGATTCGGCTATATTGGTTTTGCCGTATTGAATTTTCATATTATAATTTCAAATTTGAAATCAGAGATCGAAAAAACCTCGAGTTTCGTTTGAATCCAATCAGTTTTTTTAAATTCAAGACCGCTATATTGGATCCACAATCCTGAATTTTCGAATTTTGACTTCAGATTAAAAATCAGGGATCCAAAAAACGTTCAAGAACCGAGTTTCATTAAAATTGAAGTAACAGAAAACTGCATGCTTCAAAGAGTTAAATAAATTTTTTAATTAAAATAAAAAAATATATTATACTGCCATTTTGTTATATCGCAAAGATGAGGCTGTAACTTGCATTCTGTGACACCATATACAATATGTTAGCATAAGTTTTGAACCAAAACTAGTGAATCACTTCGAAACCTTTACTTGTAAGGAAAAATATCTAAAAATTAAAAAAAAAAAATATATATATATATATATATATAATCCGCATAATTTAGTATAAAATTGTAGTATGTCAGAGAAACTTGTCCTATAGTTACCAGAAACCAAATTCAAACTCTGCGAGATTTGAAACGCGAGTGGACCTCGGGCTCTACAATACACATCAAAATCAAAGCGACTCGTGTATCCTTTTATAAACGATTGTTCGTCAATCTTACGACGAGGAAAGAATCGAATGGATTCCAAATCGATTGAGATATCGGTGCACGGGAGAAATGGCGGCGTACCAGTGGGTCACCACCCTGTACACGCTATCGCGTGCTCTATCCGGGGAAACGCCGGATAAACTTTGTTCGCGGCGGGTCACGGCACTTCGGGACCCAAAGAAGCTGCAGGTCCCTGGCCGCTAATTCGACGCTTCGAGGCTGGGGTCTCGACCTCGTAAGCCCGAAAAGTCGTAAAACTATTACCAAGTTAGGACGAACGAAATGTCTGCCCGCTCTCTCTATCCCCCTCCTCACCCCCCTTTCTCGCCCCATCGCTCTCTCCCTCACGCCGTTTCGCCACCTACCGCATTTTCTCCACCGCGGAAACTTTCTTCGTCGAACTTCCGGCGCGGCCGGAAATTGTAGCGAACGTAATAGATACATCGCGGACTTTAAGGTCGGTCAACGAGGCTCGCCATACTTTTTTACGGGCCCATTCGCCGCGGTAGGTACTTCGGGGTCGCAGCTGTGGTTTCCTAGACCTCCCTCCTCTCGCGACGATGACTATGACGACCACCAACAACCATGACAGCGATGATGACGACGAGGAGCATTCTCTCTCTCTCTCTCTCTCTCTCTCTCTCTCTCTCTCTCTCTCTCTC